TCTGGTAAAAATTGTGTGGCATGAAACACGGATTCTGTACATTCTCGGCTTAAGTACTTCGAACAATTACTTTGATGAAGGATTCGTGATAGCAAACGATTGCAAGTTGCGTCCTGACTGGCTTTTTCGTTGATCACCGGTTTTACATTCCAAATGATCACGAGGCCTGATCCACCTTCACCGCCCTGCCCACATGTTGCTATTTTGGTCCCATTCGGATGAATATCGACCGAGTAGATTGCACCACCTAAATTCAAGAGCATCACAGATTATCGATGATTGTCAGTTCACGGATCTTTCAAATCAAAATCAATTTTTACCTGAGCCGACATTTCAACAAACGGCGGGATGGATTTTAGCGTAAAAGCTATAGCTGGTGATCACGACTTCGTCTTTTATCCATGATATATTCAAAAAGTAGAAGAAAAAATTAATCAACATCGCTGGGCCTATGGGTATAGTATTGCATGCGAAATGGAGTATACATGTTTGCAGGACTGCTGCTGTATGTAACTGCGTACGTGTGGTGAATCAGGTTGTGCTGAGCGACACGATACATTAAAATCAGCACAGAATACTTTCGAAACACAAATCAAACAGACAAGGCGCATGAAATGCGAAAAGCTCGTCCCTCGAATTTAAGCGAGTGACAACTGAAAACGCCTGCCCGGCACACTACGACAACATGCTTTTCATAACGTTCGTTTCGTCTTGCTTTAGGAACCGATCGGTACTGAGCAAATTCATTTACCCTGATGACCTAGGAATTAAAAACCTAGTTAGTGCGATATTCTCATGAAAGCTGTCTCCTCATAATTTCATAGAATTACTATCCTTATCATATGTTAGTTTCCTCCTCTCCCACCTGCTCTATCACTCCTACTTCTTTCATGACATTAAATATTTTCTTTCCTTCTTGCTCTCTTTATCTTTTCCTTTCACTCATCCTTCTAGCAAATTAGCTACATGTCTTTTCAATACATGACGGGTAAGAGGCTGCACTGACGATTCCCACTCCTACTCGCATGCATAGTCCGGTCTGTGTTTACAGCTAAGGGATGAAACACGGAGACTGCATTGATAAATATCACCGCCCTACATCTGAAAGATAAAGGCAATTTGCACCATAAAATAACACTATACACATGGCTTGCGTACAATTTTGTTGGTCTATTATTTCACTGACCGAACGGCCCATCTAACAGAGGCGGCGGCTTCTGCCCTTCGCTGGGAAATCCCGTAAATTATTTTGACAAGCAAAAACGCAGCAGATGAGATGCAGAGCTAACCGGAGTGATGGATCCACACTGGATTGGTCAGTTGCATTGAACACCATTCACCATCAATAGCCTCGCCGTAATCTGCTCCTGTAACTCCAAATTTGTGCCATCTGCTCTTAACATTCAAAATGCGCATCTGCTCTCGATGGTAAATTCCTCAAGCAGTGAAACACAAACAATCACACTCTCAGCATCAAAAAGACTCGTGGTGATACGAAGTCGCCCATAAAATCTTCAATTCCCAACAGAACTTCCTGGAGGACTGAATAAACCTCATATATGGGTTTTTGAACAAAAAATGACACGAGCAAATGAGTGCCACCAAATTCTTGGGCCGTTAAACCCTGCAGTCAGAGTTCTCCAGCAAAAAGTTGAGTGTGATCAGTGCGGCAACCCATCTCTCTACGAGTCGTTTCGACAGAGCAGCGACCAAACCCCTACCAGATTGTTTTCAAGCAGCAACTTTCGGAAGACCAAGCCAAGGTCAATCCTGCCAGCACAGAGCACGAACAGGCAGCACTTTTAAAAAGTATATTTTTGATATTAAATGAAGTTTTTCCATCTCTTTTGTTAACAAAGCAGCAGAAGAAATTTATCAATAAAAAAAAGAGGACAGTTATGATCACTCTGGAAAGTATGACAGTACTTTAAGCAACCGCTACGGCACCAGACATTCCGAATGAGCAGAAATCAAATGGCCCCGAATGGATAAAAGTCCGAGGGAAGCACCTGAAATAATGAGTGGATATCCAGGGGTGCGCCTAGGAGATAATGATGATAGTAATAATAATAATAATAGTAATGATAATAATGGTAATAATAATAATAGTAATAGTGATAATAATGGTAATAACAGCAGTAGTAAAAATAGTAGTAATGACAGTAATAATAATAGTAATAATAACAGTAATGATAATAATGGTAATAATAATAGTAATGACAGTAACAGTAATAACAATGATAATAATAGTAATAATAACAAGAACAATAATGATAATAATAATAATAACAATAACAATAATAATAGCAATAATAGCAGGAACAATAAATGAGTTAAATGGCACTTGAAAAACAGATTAATTTAGACATCTCTGAGGGATTTGTTACACTGTGTGTGAGCCACTACAAATGAATGCGTCAAATGCTATGGATAATTGCCTGTTTTCCCAATTCTCATCCACTACTCGACGACAGGCAGCAACAAAAAATGATTTTCCACGCTCTCCCCTCTCAACAGCCACCCAACGCTCAGAGCGAAATTTAAACTTCCCTCCTCAAACAGGCCAGGGTCGCCGCTCGCGAACAACCCCCACTGGGACGATGATCGCCGCCGGGGGAGCTCATCAGCAAAACTACACAACATCCCAATAAAAATGGCATCCCCTCTCCGCCCCCACCTTAATAAAGAAATCCTGAATGACCGAGAACTCCGTTGCCTGCAGAAAGTGAAACTGTGACGTGAGGTTCGGTTACACTGCAAATTGCCCGATCAGAGGACCTGACCACTCCCAAGCTTTTGCCGTTGTCCAAGTTTGCCCGTGAACAAAGCAGTCGTTTGACCACTGCCGTTTTGCACCGAGAACATCGAGTACGAGGAGCCACCCCTTCAGTCTGCTGCCACTTCCAAGCAACTCAATCTGAATCGAATCGGTGCAAGCCAGGTTGAAGTACGAAACGCGAAAATTGCTGTTGGTGACGGGAGACGTTGTCTCTAGCGCTGGGTAGCATACATTTTCCAGTGGTTGGTGAGAAGAGAGGTGATTTGGTGCGGATTTTAATCTCTGAGGGCTTCGGGCACGATACGGAAAACTATGAAAACTGGGAAAGAAGCAACACCGCAATGCAAAGAAAGATAATAAAATAGTGCAGATCTAAACCTACGCAATTAGAAATAGCCATCTGCGCTAGGGGGATTTCCTATTTGTGATGCTCACGCTTAGTTGGAACTGAGAACGAGTAAATTCGATTGGACTTACATAAAAATGTATTGCTTCCGGCAATAAAAAATGGACTTCATTAGCAGTCCGTATCCATGCACAACTTTTACATCACTGTTTTTTACTTTTTTCTCCTAAATTCCAAAATTTTTTCCCTGAATCCCACAGAAGCAAAGCCTAATCGCATCTTCATCTACCAACTCTATCCCAATTCTTGCTCAGTTAATTTCCTACATTTCTGTCCTTAACATTCGTAAAACCCACATTCTACTGGACTTCACCCCCACTTAAGCCTGGTCTTCGTAAATGAAGTCTCTCCCTATTCCTATTGCCGAAGATAATACATTCAAATTTTTGCGCAAATCCAACCGAACTCACTCGTTCTCAGCTTCACCAAGGCACAGACGCCATAGACAGGGAAGCCCCCTAGTGAAGATCGATTTTATAGGAAAATCCCCATTCATTTAGGTTTAGAAACGCTTTCACTCACCCCTAACCCACAAAACGAGTGCACTTATGTGGCAAAGTCGAGCTTGAGCAGCTGACTATCTCAGCTGCTCTCCTTCTGCGAATCCCTTCGGCTCAAGCAGTACCACACTGTCCCCCCTTTCCACCCACCACTCTCAAGCTACGTTACTTAGCGCTCGGGGAACGTCACCCAGCGCTCG